CCGCCCGCCTTTATAGCTAAGGTATTATCTAAGCAGCTGGCACATGGCAGGCAATCACTAAGTCTTTGCTAAAATGAGCTGAATAATATAAACTTTCAAAACCACTTCTTATAGGTCACCTTGTGGTAGGTCCAATTTGATCTCCTATTTTTAAGGGGCGAAACCTTGTTAACTGGAGACTAAGGGTAACTCCTGAATTACAAAATAGATGTGTGAAGGGCAGTGAACTGTTGGAGCAGAGATATGATAACAGTTTAGATAAGACCACGGCAGAGATCTCTGGTGATTCACAACCATAATTCTCCGTATTTCTTTCACAATAAACAGTTGAGCTACTGGTCCAGGGTTATGCAGGACTATGAGCAGCTACATAAGCCAGGTTCTATTTACGATTTTTTTTTTTAATTTACCCATCTATATTTCAACATTTAAATGTTTTCTTAGTCTTTTAAAAAACTGGTAGTACAGGCGTTAGTGACAGTGCTATCATTTGATTCATAGCTGGTCAGGGAGGTGACCCATATAGCACAGCAGACCTCTCCTGTCTCGCCTGCTGCTCCCCTCAGCAGTGTACTTCGTCAATCTGTCAGTTCTGCTCCCCGGTCTGTTGCTGGTGAAGCTCTCACCCACCAGCACCTCTGGTTCTATACTCCAGTTCTTGTATGCATAGATATTAACTCTTTTTTAAAAAAGTTGATGTATAATTCACCTACTATAAAAATCATCTTCTTAGTATACAGTTCAGTGGCGTTTAGTGTATTTTTAGCATATTCACAAAACTGTACGACAATCACCACTGTTGTACTTCCAAACCTTCATCACCCAAAAAGAAATCCTGTGCTCACTGGCAATCACTCCTCAGTAATTTCTCCCCTAAATCTTTGGCAACTACTATCTATTTTTTGTCTCTAGGGATTTGTCCTAGAAATTAGAAGTTCATATAAATAAAATCAATATAGTATGTACGCATTTCTGTTTTGTCTTTTTGACTTTGCATGTTTTCAAAGGTCATCTACATTGTAGCAGACAGCAGTATTTCCTTCCTTTTCATGTCTAAGTAATTTTCTATTGTGCAGATTAAATCATAACTTGATTTAGATCTTCTTTTTTTCTTTTTTTCAAGATTTATTTATTTATGCATACAGAACTGGGGTACAGGCCAGAGGTGCAGGGGCAGTGAGAGGATTCACCAGAGACAGACTGGGGAGCAGCTCTGCTAAAATACACTGCTGAGGGGGGCAGTGGGAGAGACAGGAGAGGTCTGTGCCATGTGGGTCAGCTCCTGAGCTGGGGATCGAACTCAGTACTGAAACAGCTGCAGCTCACTTGCAGTGCTGTGCTTTAACCCACTGCACCACTTGAATTTATTTCTATGACATTTTATAAATTGTATAAGTCCTACATGTCTTTAAATTCACTCCTAGGTATTTTACTTTTTGTCATTATCATAAATGGAATTATTTTCTGAATTTCATTTTTGAACTATTCATTGCTAATATATAGAAATAAAATTAATGTTTGCATATTGTCCTTGTATCTTGTAACTTTGCTGTACTCATTTATTGGTTCCAATAAGTTCTTTTGTAAGTCCCTTAGAACCTTCTATCTGGAAAATCATACCATCTGCAAATAAAGTTTTATATCTTCCCTTTTAATCTGAATTCCTTTTCTGTTTTTGGTCTTAACTACCTTGACAGTAAGTACCATGTTGAACAGAAATGGTACCCGTAGACATGCTGGTCTTGGGGAAAACATTGTCTATCAACAATGACTAATATATTAGCCATGGTTGTTTATCGATAACCTCATCAAGTGATGAAGTTTCTCCATCATTAGGTGTCTTTCAATATCTTTCCCAGAGAAGAAAGAGAAAAGAGAGGACCCCATTGACTCCAGCAAATGAGCAGCCCAGCCCCACCATGGAAGATGAGGACAGGGCAACTTTGCGCTTATTTGCTCATGTTCTCCAGTTTGCCACCAGGCTCTGTGTGTACTAGTTTTGACATTAGTAGGACGAATCCCCATGAACTTGTGTGTCCGAGCCCCTTCCCTCTGGCGCCTGCAGCACATAGTATAACCACAGCATGTGGCTCCACTCCAGCTGGGCCAGGGCAAAGGCAAAGGTCAGAGAAGAGGTCTTCAGAGACAAAACAGCTGCTGACTTCCAAGTGTACCGGCTGGCCAGCTGACTAAGGCCAGCTTAGGCCTAGGGTCAGTGCATGCTAAATGGGGGAAAAAGTGGTTCCAGGAATAAGAGCAGGAGAAACCCCGATCCCAGGTTCTCAGATTCCAGTCGATGCTAGCATTGAACACTGTGATCCTAAGTATGTAGAAAATGAACACCGATTGCAACATCCAGGTACACTCTTGCCAGTAGCTTCAGTTAAATTTCCAAATCTCACACAACAATTTCACAAAAACTCCTGGTTTCTTCTGTGCGCTACTTGCACTCCTTTTACCAGCAACTCACTCAAGGAGCCTGGTCTCCTGTTTTGCTTCTGCTCCTTGCCCTTCCTCACACTAGACATATCTAGCCCCACCTTTTCTCCCTGAGTGGAGATCAAAATTGAAGACAGCCTGCTACACCCCTCACCCCTCACCAAACCATTTAGCTAAGTTAACTTTAGACCCAAGCCTCACCCTTATCTGACTGACCCTAAACCTGATGCTTCTTCCCACCCAGGTCCTAAATCCAACCTGACAGTGTCCCTTGGGAAACAGCCCTCTCTCTCCAGCGACTTTGGATGTGGCAAGACTTTGTCCTTGGTGCCCTCAACCCCCCTTGACACCTTCCTTCTTTTCCACCAGCCCTATGTCCCACCACTGGTACAGACACCCCCAGTGGTTAGAACATATCCTGATGCTCTCCATAGCTTTGGTACTTGGGTGCTGTCTGAAGATAGTGATAAACCCCAAGACTGAGCTGCATGTCTTACAGCTGCCGTGCTAGAGATGGATTGTGGTGTGTGTGTGTCCACAACTTCTGGAACCTCTACCAGGGTGCAGTCACCTTAGGAGTCTGGGACAAAGTGGATCATCTTTCTCCTTCCCCTCAGGCCCACCTACTTTGGTTTATCTTTTGGTTTGTTGAAGACGGGAAGGTTCACTATGTAGTGTTAGATGACAGTGCTACCAGGCCCAACTGTCCTCACCTATAGTCTTAACGAAGATCTTCCCCTCAAGAGTTCCCATCATCCTGTCTCCTCTGCTGGGATTTGGGGGTGGGATTAGTGCTGCACCTTGAGGATACCCTTACCCGTGCCTGTCATTCCACCCCATCCTCGCCTTACCAATTGTATTTCACGGCATGTGGCACAGAGCTGCTTGTTTCTGGCCCACAAGGGTGTATTCTGGTTCCTTCTGGCCTGGAGGGAAATGATGGAGAGGTGAGGAAACAGTGGCATATCTGGGAAGCAAAGAAGTGGGACAGAGGCAGAGGGGTGAGAAATATTAGAAGCCATTCCTTCCATAAAACAGACGTAGTCTGCTCTCAACCCTGAACTGGGTGGGAGGGAGGGGAGGCTGGATCTAGATTTGGCTTCACTAGGTTCAGAAAGGGTTCAGGCAGGAGGGAGAGAGCCATAGACTCTCTCAGTGACCCCCAGGGTCACTGCACAAGGTAGAGGCAGCTGGCAGAGGGCTGGCGCTGAAATCCAGTGAGAGCTCTCTTCTCAGAATGCATGTGGAGTCTGAGCAGCTGTGTTCTCTCAGAAGACACAATTTTCTGTCCCCACAGGATCCCCCACACAGACTAGTTGAGAACTTCTGAGGACCTGAGGAAAGCAAAGACTTCTCTCCTGCAAACCTGTTTCCTGGCCCCTGCCAGGTAGCCTTCTCATGGCCTTAACTGAGGCTGCACATCAACTCCCAAATACTCCAGCCCCACTGGGCTCCTCTGCTCCTCCCAAGAGTCCCAAAAGGAGCTACAGTAGCATGGGACTGGTGTGTACTCCTGAGACCCATCTTCCTCTGGGGGACAGAGGCCACCCAGCAAGGTAAAGACAGCAGTAATGCGGGGAGAGTGGGACAACCAGTCTGCACCCCACAATCACTGTTTGCTTCCACTGGGAGGTGGACAGGGAGCCTTCAGAGCATTTACACCCGAGGTTCTTATTTGTATCACCGAGAGACCTTGGTTAGGGGATGTACACTGACCTTCTCACTGATCTTCCTCACTGTCACTGACACCGGGGTAATGAAACACACTTATGGAAGGGCAGAGTATGCAGGAGAGAAGAGACAGACAGACAAAGATGATGAACTAAAGCCACTCTTTGCAGTTGGTGACCTGTCCCTACCTGTGCCCTGGTTGTTCCTGCTGTCTAGGGAGGCGTGGGGCACAGGGAGAGGAGGGCCATGCCTGGCAGCGTGGGGCCTGTCTGGGGTGGGCTACATTGGTATGTGTCCAGGGAGCGATACATGGCACTTGGGTGAGGTAGGACTGGGGGATGGAGGACTGAGCTCTGAGGACAAAGTGGGATTCTTCTGACAAATATTTAAAATACATTTCATTTTTGGAGGCCAAAAGAATCGACTCAGTATCACAGTGTTGTGGGCTGGTATGTGACAGTGTGCATGAGAATAACTAGGTTCATTCATTCACCAAGCGTTGGCTGTGAGGCCACCACGTGGAGGGTGCCGTGCTGGGGTCACAGAGATGCAGAAGCAACATTTCCGGGCTTGGGGAAGATGAGGGAAGAAGACAAATGCTCTCATTCACCAATTGTTTGGTTCTTGGGGACCCTGGGGTAATAAATAAGACAGCTGGAGCTTCTGACCTCAAGCTGTCACTACAGACACTGTATTTATAAGCATTATGGCACTGATGGTACTTAGGAAGAAATATATTGAAACTGCTCTTAAACTGAAAGAGGCATGAACAGAGTTCATGGAGTGCAGGTGGGGAGCATGGAGGGCAAGTTCTGAGAAGGGTTAAAGAGAGATAATACTGGGGGGTGGGGAGGGCAAGGGGAAACACATTCCAATAGTAGGAAACAAGGAAGAATGACCTAGCAAATCTGCTCAGGTAAGTGAGGATGGTGGGGTGGTGGGTGCTGCAGTGAGTGGCTGGGAGGAAGAGTCCTGTGGGTACTGACTCTCCCACTTCAACTTTCTACCAGGTCTTCCTAACCCAGGGTGGTCCATCTGGGGCCCCCACCTCCGGGCTCACATCTTTGAGTTTTTGCAGCTCAGACCTTTTCTGAAACTATACTCAAGGTTGGAGGCACAGTCACAAAGCAATATATGTGCTTGGTCCAAAAGGATGAGGGAGACCTGGACAGGTGGAGGGGGTGTGCAGGAATCCTGGGGCAGGTTCCTTTTTTGCAGAGTTATAGCCAGATCCTTGTCTCTCCTGCAGTTGGGTCCTTCACCTTTTCCAGACTTCAGGTTTCTAGGGATCAGAATTAGCATTCACCATGAATCAAGCAACAGATGTATGTGGCAGGTCCCCAAGGTCCGTAATCACAAATGGGTCATGATCATAACTTGGAACCTGAAGGATGGAATGTTCTGGATATCATCCTGGCCTCTTTGCTCCTCCTTAAGAGCAAGGACATGTCTCACACACCTTTGTATTCCTAGCACCTATCACAGAGTAGGGCATATATCAGGCATTCCACACATGTTGGCTGAAAGACAGACATAACACATGTGTATAACTACTGGAAACACAACAGGTATGTGTGTGCACGTGTGTGAAGAGCAGCATTATAACTGCATCTTTGGGGGGAATGTTACAGGACTGCTGTGTGTAACACATTGATTCTCTACAATGTGCTGGGGAAGGCGCTGGCTTCAGGCCCAGTGTCCCCAACCAGACCCCGTGAGTAACCCGGAAGCTTTGGTTACTCATATAAGCTCTCTGCAGTCTGTAGTCAAAAAGGCAAAGGATCCTGCCCCCACTGCACAAGTACAGAGGAGAATCAGCTGATAGCTGCAGGAATGTGGCAGTCGCTCCACCTGCAGCTATTAGCTACAGCCTCACCTGGAGGAAATGCCTCTCCATTCCTCTTCTGGAGAGGAGGGCAGGGCATGGAGGGGTGTTCACACAGCATGGGAGGCAGCTGTGACTGGGTCCTGCCTAGACAGTCTACCAAGAACTGATTGCTAACTGATTCCATGTTGTATAGGCCTCAGCTTCCTCCCCTGGATTTTGCCTCCTTGCCAGCCCTGATGTTCAGGTCTTTTCCCTCTACAGCCATTTCCTTTCCTTCTTGTCTTCCTTACAGTAAGCTAAACAGCATCAGGGGCAGGCATGGTGAATCCCTGCTTATGTTACCGGAAGGGTCGGCGCCACTGTGAGGCTCTGAGAGGTTAACAGGGTTCTCAGTGCCCACACGGCTGTCCCCAGGAGAGCAGGCGCCCTGTGACAGGACAGTGAGGCCAAGGTCTGGTGCCCAGCTCAGCCAGAAGCCACTCTTTCACATCTCTCAAGTGGAACCCTCCTAAGATCAGGAGTCAATATCTGTAAAGGCTCCTGGGATCTGACTCATGGCCCAAGTTCTTGGTCTTCTTGAATCTTTGGGAAAGGAACTTGGAAAAATGTTTTTCCCTTTTTGCTCCCTTTCCTCTCTCCTCTGTGTCTCTCCCCTGCTCTCTCTCTCCAGCTACATCTCTGCTACTGCACGGTCCCCTTAGCCAGGCTTCTCGTCACAGGTCAGCTGAAAGCAAAATAAATAATGCTCTCATCTTACTCTGGCTCATTAGACTGGAACAACAAACCCAGATCAAAGAGAAGAGGGAGGGGGCAGGGCAGCTGGCAGTATGGAGCAGCTTTTAGTGCTCCGGACGGAACTGAGGCCCTCTGGCTACTGCACACCCAACCCAGAAAGTAGACAATGGGGGTGGGGGGGGGCCTGCAGCTGCAGATCACCCCACATCTGTTCTGCCTGCTTGGATCTCTGAGCAAACAATCTAGTCAACTATTAGGTTGCCTTTTCCCGTTTCCTGGCATCCTGAGGAGTAGTCCTGAGTCAACGTCTGTGAGTGGCAGGTGAAAGTCGTGCTGTCAGAGTTCTCTCCACTTAGACACAGATGGGGAAAGTCAGGCTGCACTGTTAAGTTTTCTAATTTTCTCCCATGTCAGTTCTGCACCTCTTCTGTTTCCTTTCTTGTATTCTCTGTCCTCTATCTCCCCTCTCTGGGGATCTCTGGCCTCTAATACCAGCTCTCTGTTTCCTTCTCCCCATCTTCCAGTCTCTACAACTCCTCAGTCCCCTTCGATGTCTGCAGATTCATTAGTGCTCCTGACGTGCACCCACCTGCCTCTGCTCTGTGGGCCAGCTCTGGGCAGGAGGAAACATACTTGGAATGTGGGTGTTCAAAGTCCTGCCCTTTGGTGACAGAGGAAGCCTGGCGCTAGGTGGCAGGACCTTTGCCCTTTGCACAAAGGCGGGGACTTCTCAATGGCTGCAGGGCTGCCAGAGGCTTCCTGGCAGTTCCCTGATGTAAAGGGCCAAGGAAGTGACAGGGTACTGTCCACAGTACTTTCCTCTCCTGTGAGATAAAAGTTTCTTTCTGGAAAGAAGCAGCTGCCCCAGGGGCCTATCTCTTCCCCAGCGCCCATGTTTAGTTTCACACTCTCAGCTTACTCTGGGGCCTGGATCCAGGTCTGAGATGGTCTATGACTGCACTGTCTGACCAGCCACCCTGAGAGAACAGGACTCCCAGATTCCCCCTCTCCCCAAAAGGGGGCAGAATATGCCAAGCTACGGGCACTTTAAAAACTGGGAGGGGTACAAGAAGGTCCTCTTTGGGGACCACGCTTCTTTTCTTCCTACAAGCAGAAGGTAATGCCACAGATGGAAGGTGTCTTCCCTACTGAGGAAATTAGTATTCTTATCACCTAGAAGTAGAAGTTGAGAGAATTCTGTACAAACAGACTCTGTTAAAAGGATTCTCATCTTCCTCTTACCTCCGCATATATGCTAGTTACTTTCCCACAATTGTCTGTTTTGTGTTGACCTACTATAAAAACATTTAGGTTTTGCCACTTCTTTGGGTCCATGTTTCCTTATGAGGGTCCCCATGTAAAACTTGGATTAGATAAATCTTTATTCTTTTCTCCTATTAACTGGTCTTTATATCAATTGAATTCTTAGGCCCAGAATTAAACCTTAAGACAGCAAAGGTAAAATTTTGCCTCCCCTTTATACAACATGTACAGTGGTGGAGGGCTACCCCCCAACCCCAAACACACACACACAGGGTGTGGGTGAAGGGGCGCTATCTGAGTGAAGGCATGTAGGACTGCTATCTAAATGGCTGTTACTTGTGGCTGCCACCCAGTGGCCGGAATGGAGTCTTGCAGCCACAGAAGTCTAACCCTACTGTGGGTCTCTCACTGACACTGGTCCTTTCTCCCCCTTCACCCACCCACACAGACCGGTGGCTACACTTCAGTGCCTGGGATGGCGGGAGCACTGAGACCAGAGCAAGCACGGAGGGGAGACAGAGCTGGGTGGCAAGGGAGAGACACTCTAGTTAGGAAGGTCCAAGCCACCTGGAAATTTTCTGTTCTTGCCAAGCCAGTCCTGTCTGTTTCTGCAGCTTTCTCTGTGCACTTAGCAGCTCTGTACTTACAGCCTGTCAGTTTGTTAGCACAGTGGGTGAGGTGACTCCATCTCTGCTCAGATCCTGATGGCCCAAGTGCTGAAAAGCCAGGCATTTCCTTTTTGCTCTTGGCGTTTCTGGGTACCTATGCTTCCATGTGAGGTGAGCCCATCCTGTAACTGACTCCCTAGGGTGCTTCAGCACTTCCTGCTCACTCAGCCGCTATGTCTTCACCTCCCTGCCTCTGGTCTTCACTTAAGGAACTATTTTCCAGACCCTGAGTCAATGCCACTGGCTGTTAAACCTTTCTTTGCTCCCCTTTTCCACCAGGTGGTCCTCGCTCTCTCTCCCCTCTTCTCACAAGCACTTGATCCCTCTCTCTGAAACCCATCGTACCCACTCAGGCAACTGTGCAGGCAGTCTCTGACCTACTCATCTCTATATTTGTATTAAACCAGATCAAAAGGGCCCGGGAAACGTACCCCTGTGAAGGGACATGAGGGCCTGTCAGAACATGGAGCATGTTTACTGGCGCTCCCTTGACTGGGGTGCTTCAGAGGCCTCTTCATGCCCTCTGCACAACCAGTCATGGTTATTGCTGGGGGTGGGAGGGAGAAGGGGAAGTCTTTGACGTGACATTCCCTACGGCAGGGACACCACAAGGAGTTCGTGGGGTGATGATGGGAGGGAATTCGAGAGTCTGGAAATTAGGATTGTTCTGAACAAAGGTTGAGCAGTAGTCCCTGAAGCTCTCAGGACAGATTTCTCAAAAGGTCTTTTTTAGATTGCCCTTTCTGATGATTCTAACCTTAAGATTTTGATCTTAGTTCCAGGGGACACAAGTTCCCAGACATGGGGAGGGAAGTTGTGCTGAGAGAGAAAACAATTCTGTGTTCAGCGCCAATGTTGCCCTAAAACAAGGTAGGGTTTTCTTTTCAAATAAAAATAATAAACGGGAATACCTCAGATAAGACACCTGGAACTTGAAGAGAATTTGCCAAGTTCATATTCTTCTTGAAAGAGATCAGAGACGATCTAAGAAATCAAAACAAGAGCAAGTCAGAGTGGGTCTTGCTCAGAGTGGTCTTAAAGACTTGGGTCTTCACACCCAAGTCACCGTCTTGGGTGAAGACCAGTCCCATTTGTACTTCAGAAAGAAACTAAGGGGTGCCCTGAGGAATGCTCTCCATCCTAATCCTGGAGGAACCACCCATTTTGGAGCTAAAAGGACAAAATGGCTTTGTCCTTTTGAGTCCCCGTGGTTTCTCTGTCCCTTTGATTTTGAACTAACCATTTCTGGACAATCAGAGACAGTGCATGAATATGGAAGGAAAAAAGATGTTCATTAAACTAGTATGTCCTGGGTGAGAAGCCCCCAGATCTCCTTCTTGAAAAGGCCTGCAGAGAAGTTACAGGGCCTTTAAGCCTGCTAGCTTGGGGTCTACATCTCTGCCCCTGAAAAATTCACTCATTTTCTCCTGTGAAACATCGTCTCCTTCCATCTACTTTTTTCCCTGGAACTTTCTTTCTTCCGAGTCACCAGGCAAAGCAGTGAGGCCCCATAGTTAACACTTGCTCTACTTGCGGGCCCTCTTACTACAGTGTAAGAAGCAGGGGCCTGGCTGTCATGAGCAGCCTGCGTGGGCAGCGCTGTGTGTGCCCCTGGCAGCTGTGAAATGGAAACTCAAGAAGGCTGATCCTTTTGCCAAGAGCACCGCTCCTCTCTAATGAGGAAAGATTTCATTGTCCATTGTTTCTCAAGGAGTTGGGTGTTAACAAAGCATTCATGGCTTCACCTCCTCACCATTTCCTAGGCTCTGAGAGAAAATGAAGGGGTCCCAATGGCATTCACCCATTTGTCTTTGATATGTGAACAGCTTGCCTTGGACTTGACAGTAATGCTGTCCAGAGGCCGATAATCTCAAATAAAAAGGGGCTCTGGACAAGTGTCTCTTCTGCACAGTCAGGCTAAGCCTCCTAGAAGGAACTGTGTTTGCAGAGCCACAATGGGGTGGGGGGCATTTGCTCCTGCTGTGGGGGCTGGTCTAATAGTGAGGTAGAACAGGAACTTAGCACTTCCACTTTCCCCATCTAGCATTCCTGAAAGACAGCTATGAATATTCCAGAAACAAGCTGACTCAGACTCAAATTCTATTAGTTTATCTATCTCACATCTGAGGTCACTTGTGAAAACTTCTATCATATCTAACAGGAGGTTAGAGTCCAGTGATTTTGGTTAAACAAATTGGCCAAATTTTATCACCATTATTTGTAAATTCCTGCTCCTTTTAAATAAGCTGGACAGGGCCCTCCCTGGTGGTGCAGCAGGTTAAAGCACAGCACTAAGAAGCTAAAGCCACTGCAGCATGAGTTCCATCACCATCCTAGAGCTGAACTACATGGCGCAGCAGACCTCTCCTGATCCACCCGCTGCTCCCCTCAGCAGTGTTCTTCGTCAGTTGGCCTGTCCTGCCCCCCAGTCTGTCTCTGGTAAATCCTCTCACTGCCCCTGCACCTCTTGCCTGTACCCCAGTTCTGTATGCCTAAATAAATAAATCTTTAAGAAAAAATTTAAAAAGCTGGCCAAGTCTCATCCCACCTGTAAGTCCCCCTAAACTAGAAACATATCAGCACAAATCTCTCAACGACACAAATCTCTCCCTTGAAATCTGCCTGCATTCTCTTTCCTGAGTGTACAATCTTGCCTACAATATCACTTCATTTTGAACTTGCTGACATTCACTCTTGCATGAATTCTTTTCTGCAAAGACTTCAAGATCCATGGGGTCCCTTAGCACCCCTGAGCCTCATCAGTGGGTACAGGAGTGGGATACCATGGTGGGATTGATGAAAGCTGACAGTAGGAAAATTTAGGACAGGACAACATCAGAGGTGAGGGTAGGGTTAAATAATGAATCTTAAACTAAATTCACCTAAGAAAGTTGCCAGGAATCTTGAGGTGGAGTCAGAAAAGACAACTAGGGGGAGGAGAGAGGGGCAGGCAGAAAGGAGAGGTTATCAATCATGGAAGACCAACCCAGTCTGACCCCAAGGTGACAACTTCCACAATAATTTCACCCAAAAACAGGATAAAAGAACACCCCTTGTTCTGGCAAAATGCAGCACTTGTCTTTTAAAATTGCCTGCCTGTGTCTATGCGAGGGTTCCTCTCTCCTCAATAAACTTGTCATGTACTGAAGATGGGGACAGCTGCTGAATTCTTTCGCAGAGGGTTCTGTCTGTCTCAGATGCTGACCTGTCCTTACTTCCGAGGGTGCTTGTCCTTGAAGTGCTGACTCTTCTTAATAAGAATGGTATAACTGGTGATTCTAATAGGCCAACCAGCCTTTAGCTTTATTGAGTCCCTCTCCTTGCCCACTTGGTATTAAAACACTGGCTAGAATTTAAGAGATATTCAAAATTTGTAAAAGTAACAAAACCAAGCATTTTGAAAGGGTCTCTGAAAACACACACAACCCTTCAGCTTCTTGCTGTGAAGGTGCTGTTTAAAAGGGTAGCAGATGAGCAAAGGCAGATGTTATGGAAGTGGGGGTGGAGAGGCAGGGCCTCATGGAAAGGCACTTATCCAAGGCAGGCAGTTTGTGACAGTTACCAACAGTAAGAAATCTCTTTCTAGAGAGGGCAATCTTTTCCATCAAATTGTCACACACTTTGGGAATTCAACCTTTTGCATCTGTGATGCACCTGTCACCTTGCTGGTCTCCCCCAATCTCCTACTGAACCCACATCACCTCATGTTTGCCCTCTTCCCCCTCATTCCCAGAGTTAGATACATCACTACATGCCTGGGTCAAAAATGGGGGAGGAAAGAGGCAACCCAGGTCTTTCAAGGGGTAGGCCTGAAGTGTTTGACACATGAAGTCCCCCAATTTTGAAAAAAATGGGGCCTTCTTTACCATCACAGTTTGTTTGGAAGGGACGAGTCCAGGGAAAGTTAGGATTAATTAGGTAGCTTTAGCAACACTGTAGGCAGGGGCCTTGGAGAGTTAAACAGGTTTCTGAGATAAGGGGAGAGAAATTCAAGAAAGCTAATGAGGGAAGCAAATTTGAAGGCTAAAAGGGACAACAAATTTTCAGAGACCTTGCATAGGGGAGGTAAAAGGAGAAATTGTAAGGTAAATGCTGGGAAAGGGGGTACATCTTCCTGGAGGAGTGTAGCCACTAGGAGAAAGCCCGTCACCAAATAGGACAATAAGATTTTCGGATAGAGAAAGAAGGGTTTAAATATCCCCTAATCAGAGTCTCCCTGGTGGTGCAAGGGGTAAAGCGCAGCACTGTGAAGCTGTCCGCAGTCGCTGCAGCACGAGTTTGATCCCGGCCACGGAGCTGACCCACACGGCACAGCAGACCTCCCTGTCTTGCCCACTACTCCTCTCAGCAGTGTATTTCAGTCAGTCTTCCTGTTCTGTTCCCCCACTCTGTCTTGGGTGAACTGTTTCACCCTTCACTCCCTCCCCTCGTCCACACCTCTGACCTATACCCCTAGCTCCTTTTTGACAACAAAAATGAACCTTAAAATAATAAATATCCCCTAGCCATGGACCCGTAGCTGCACCTTTTGCCCCTCCTGAGCGTCACTACGTTGGCATCCTTGCTTTTGTTGTTCTCCTCTAATAAACTTTACTTTCTTGAACAAAGTTTGCTTCTCTTTGTTTACCTATCTTAAAAGTCTTTGAGTTCCTTTTATGGCTTCATGGGGCAAGAACCTGTGGTGATTCCAGGGCTAACAGTACACACTGGCTTCAACAGGACTGGTGAGTCTGGAGGTGACTGTCTCAAAGTTAAATGCAGGACACTGTTCCTTGATATAAATGGGAATTTAGGGTAATGAGCTTGAAGGTTAAAGTTTAAAATTTCACACTGAAACAGAGTAAGATGAAGAGGAAGATGAGTATTCTGAATGGCAGAGCCCAGGGCCAAATTCACCTGTCTTGTTGAATGACCCCCACCCGTGATGACAGACGGGTGGGGACGCCATGTCCTCCAGCCAGGTCTAACGCGTGCTCACTATTATCTGAGAAACCCAGGTCATCTCTGGTTTGTGAGCACTTGACTTGTTTCTCAGCTAATCACATAGATATTTGCTCCCTTAAGAAATCACCTTCTGTGAGATCTTCCTTGAAACTTTACCCTGGAAGGCAGAACTGTTACCTTTTGGGGATGCTGGGCACCAGTGGCTTGTTTATGAAGCTGGCCTGACTAAGCCAAGGAGTCTTGTCAAATTTTGGGACAGAGATCTGGAGAAAAATACAAAGAGTAATTTTTCATAGTTTATTGCACTTGATCATTGTCATTATTACAAAACCCAAAGTCAGTTAATGGTAGCAATCGAGTTGTCCACACTTTACAAAAACAATTTTAAGCGCAGCGCTCCCTGCCCACCTGTGACTAATTTTTCTCCCTTCCTAATAAGCCTCTTTTTCTCCGTGGCTAATAAACCTGTGCTTTTAAAATGTAACTAAACAAAAACAGTTTCATGATTTCTATTGAACCCCTTTGAGTTTTCCATAAAATAGAGCCAAAAGAGAATAGAATTATCTCCATTGTAGGGATGGGGAAATTAAAGCTCAGGTTGATTTGCCAAGTAGGCTGGAAAACTCCTCTAAACTAGTGAGGACAGGTAGGAAGTGGATTCAGGTTTCCTGCTCATTAGATTTTGCGCTCCATATCCCCTTACCTCTTCACTACCTCTGTGCATGCATCCTTTAATATTTTCAACTGAGTATTAGCAGCTCTGTCCACTCTGGCTGTCTGCAGCCACAGCAGACACAGCAGACATCCCCCCCCCCCCCCCCAATCTCTTCTAGGAGGAAAGAACCAGCCTTTGAAACTATGGACAACCTAGTATCAATCTGGTTAATCCATTTCCCTGCTGGGTGGCTGTGGACACATCTCAACCTCTCTTGAGTTTCAGAACTCCGTTAAGAGGTGAAGGATGCCATCCATCACTGCACAGGTCCACACCCCAGAGTGAAAGCTCCGAAAAAGCAGGATTTGTTATTTCCCTGCAGAATCACAAGCTCCTGAAACAGTGCTTGATACTTGTAGGTAGCAGGTAAATCTGTGTACAACGAACGTCCGGGTGCACGCGAAGCTCCTAGCCGCGATCTGACTCAGGAGCAGGGGTGCAATAAAAAGTCATTACAATCTCGCTTCTACCAGCCCAGCCTCTCTCGCTCCTCTTACCAGGCTCTATACACGGTCTTCTGGTGGGTCCCCAGGGGAGCAGTCGGAGTCCTCCTGACAGCCAGCAGGGGGCAGCAGTGACCTCGCGTTCCACCGGCCGGGAAAGGGCGCTCTGCCCGCGGAGGTATGGCGGAGCCGGAAGTGTCCGCCGCCACGCGACCCGATGCACCGGATGGGGAAGGAGGCTGGCTCCCCCTCCCTTGCCGAACAGCCCTGAGAACTCGCCGGTAGGTGGGTTTCCTGTAGGCGTCGGTGTTCCGGGGCCGCCCTTTCTCCGCCCTTCCTCCCAGGCTCTAGGCTGATGGAGGGGTGGCGGCAGACTGGGGAGACCCGGAGGGTGAGGAGCGCCCCCGGGGACACCGGACCGTGCTCTCGCCCCGACCGGGACCCTGCGCGCGGGCATTGCCCTTCTCGGCGTCCGGGCGCCTGCAGCCCGCTGGCGGCTGAGAGATGCCCGGACCAGGGTTCCCGCCCAGTCACGGGGGCTCCCAGGGTGGCTGGCGTGTGAAGCAAAACCTGTTGTGGTCGCCAGGGAAGAAATAAGTGGGCCATAAGAACTGTCTCAGCAGATTTACTGGACGACCCTGGCATGTGAGACTTGGTTTCTCCATAGTGAAAAGTGACTCGTTATTCTCTACCCCCATGTTATAAGGATGAGTTATAAGGCTCAGTTAATGCATAAGGACATTTAATTTCTTTGATTCTTTGGTTTCGACTAAATAAACTATCGCTTATAATGTGCAGTTTATTGCTGCCTTGACCAGCAACTTTTTTTTTTTTAAACAATTCATGTCTCTAGAATCCAGTTAAAATTCTGCACTTAGTCCTAGAAATCCTCATAAATTTCAGCTACAGGGAGAGTTTGGCCCATCCGGAGATCTCAAAGCCATGTGAACTCCTATATTAAGAACTGACTTCAAGAAAAGCATGACATGAAGCACAGGCACTGAGGTCAGACTGGTTGGTGTGATCAGGCTTCCCTATAGACCACAATTAACTTGAGCTAGTTATCTATGCGATTTGTAGACTTTTTTTCCTAGTAAAGGTGGTTAACACTTGGCAAGGCTGGGGACATTAAATGAAAGAAGCTATGCAAGGCACTTAGCACACAGTAGGTACCCTGTGTGGTAGTCTGAAAAGTATTATTATGCAAGGGATTATTTAAAATCTGAGATAAAAATTGATGTCCTTAATGCTGAGATGACCATCATAAATTTTGGTTAAAGGGAGTTGGTTTGATATTAAGTCATTCCTAGTCTTGACCTTTTATTATTATGTTCTTAGGTTCATAATTTGCCTTTTCATAGGAATCTGGCTATACTATTTCCTGACTCAGAGAACCACCTCATCTTTTGCAGGCCTCGCCTGAGCTGATGCTTTTGAAGTCAAGGAAAGGGCAGTAGGAAATCAGCTACAACACAGCATGAAATTTCCAGAGAGATTTTATATCAAACCTTTATAAGGATCAAGAAGCACATAAACGTCTGCCAGGAAGAATTGAACTGGCCTATGTTTGGGAGGAAAGACAATGTGTGCCCAGCCTGTAACTAACACCAAGGAGGCCAAGTGGCAGAAAGTCTTGTATGAGCGACAGCCCTTTCCTGATAACTATGTGGACCGGCGGTTTCTGGAAGAACTCAGGAAAAACATCTATGCTCGGAAATACCAATACTGGGCTGTGGTGTTTGAGTCCAGTGTGGTGATACAGCAGCTGTGCAGTGTCTGTGTTTTTGTGGTTATCTGGTGGTATATGGATGAGGGGCTTCTGGCTCCCCACTGGCTTTTTGGGACGGGCCTAGCTTCTTCATTGATCGGCTACGTTTTATTTGATCTCATTGATGGAGGAGAAGGACGGAAGAAAAGCGGGCGGACCCGGTGGGCTGATTTGAAGAGTGCCCTGGTCTTTATTACTTTCACATACGGCTTTTCGCCAGTGCTTAAGACCCTGACAGAATCTGTCAGCACCGACACCATCTACGCCATGTCAGTCTTCATGCTTTTAGGCCACCTCATCTTCTTTGATTACGGTGCCAATGCTGCCATTGTATCCAGCACACTGTCCTTGAACATGGCCATCTTTGCATCCGTCTGCCTTGCCTCACGCCTGCCCCGGTCCCTGCATGCCTTCATCATGGTGACTTTTGCCATCCAGATTTTTGCCCTGTGGCCCATGTTGCAGAAGAAACTGAAGGCATGTACTCCCCGCAGCTATGTGGGCGTCACACTGCTCTTTGCATTTTCAGCCTTGGGAGGCCTGCTGTCCATTAGTGCCGTGGGTGCTGTGCTGTTTGCGCTTCTGCTGGTTTCCATCTCATGTCTCTGCCCTTTCTACCTTATTCGCCTGCAGGTTTTTAAAGAGAACATTCATGGGCCTTGGGATGAAGCTGAAATCAAAGAAGACTTGTCCAGGTTCCTTAGCTAACTAAGCTAGGGGCCTCTGTTCCATTCTTAAGACAAAGCGGATAGACTAACCACCCAACTAGTGTTAAGATCTGAAGGCAGAATTCCACTCGGGAAGCAGCATGCCGATGTGGTTGGGAGAACAGACATCAAGAGAAAAGGTTAACGAAGACTTGGGAAGCTGCTTATCCTTTTGTTACTTTATGGATGAGCCAGCTTATGGGCCCTCTTGAATTATCACCACTTATTTAATACTTGCTGTAACAAGTGACGTGATGTCTTTAAAAAAAAAAATAACATCTTCAAATTGTCTCAATTGTTTTGTTTGTTTTTTGGTCCACAGGAAGAGGGCACATACAGAGCTTAAGTGAATTAAAAATGTGTTTGTGTATAAAGTCACTTCCACCTCAGGTTTTAGAATCTGGAATTCTGTGTCAGTTTTATTGCCTAAGATCACAGAATTGGTGACTTAGCCTTATTCTTAGTAGTATCTGTCTACAGCTAACTGCAGGGAGGGTTGATGTGTCATAATACACAAGGAAGAGGCTGGGGGGGATTCAGAGAGGCGAGAGAGCAGGTCGAGCTGGATTCATTAGGAAATATTAGCAGAGATGGCCTGTGAGCTAAGGCTTGGCAGTTAGATGGGCCGTAATTGCCAAAAAGAGGTGTTAGGAGGCAAAGGCTCTCAGGAGCCAGCTTGGTAACGACACATGAAGCCAGTATATTTCGTGTGACTAATGGCAACCGGAAAACAAAAGAGCATGCTCAGCCCAATGATGACAAGGGCCGCTCTGCTCCAGCTGAATGCTTTTAGTTAGAATTTGGGCCTGGTTTCAGATCTTTTGAGTTCCAAATAAAACACTAAATAAAACCCCAATAGTTATAAATGTGATCTTTAATAGAACTCCAACTTGTAAATTCTGTCTGATTTATATTAAGCCAAAAACACTTGCGTGCAAAGTGGGACTACCTCTGTGTCACATCTGTTCTTAGCATAGGCCCAAAGATGGGGAGTTGCATGGTGAGTGGGTGGGTGCAGGGTGAGGCAGCAGCCTTAATTCAGATGGAAATGTGCTGTCATGGAGGACAGTTCAACCTGAGTAGACAGTGTCACTCAGATGCCCAGGGCCTAATGCATCTAGGAGTGGAGAGAGGCAGAAAAGACAGGTGGTCGTGAGGGGAGTGAGGTTGAGAGGGCAGAATAGCTGGAATGAGTTTGTCCTGTAGTCATTAGTAAATTAAGGAAATCTGAGAGGGGTTACAAGATTCCCAGCCCACATATTTTCATACACACTAGGGCCTACTGACATACAGGCCGATCTCTCAGTACTTCTCAGGCTGAACGACAGAAACCAAGCTTGGGGACCTTGTGACATTAGTAAACAGAGGATCTGGACTAACTGGTCAGACCCTTGAAAGGGTGTGACGGTAGCAAGACACTCTGGTTCCGTGTACAACCAAATTACTGTCATTACTATGTCTGGAAGCTCTGTCAGTTCAGTGAAGTTTTAGGTGAGCCATTGGGCAGCTGGCTTAAGTTGTGGATTGAAGAGTTCATGCTGAGGATATTCAGGGGAGCACAAGGAACCAACCAATTAAATCCAAGTCAACGGCTCAGGGTCGAGACAGACAGGGGCCAGCAGGGGGCCTCACAGACACAGTTTTACTATATGTCAACCCTGTTGGATGGGGGGAACCAGGCCTGGGGCACAGTGCCATCTTGTGGAAGCTATTGGTATTTTAATAATGAAATTTAGAGTTTTGGAATTCTTGTTGAAAAGTTATACTTGGGAAATAACTATACTATCTTAAGTCCCCACAAACTCAGAAAGTAAATAGAAGACTTAGTAAACTGTAACAGCTACTTTTTTGAGCACTCATACTAGGTGCTTTATAGGCATTATCTCAATTATGTCAACCCTGTAATGCAGGTATTATTTTCACTTTACAGTTAAGACAGACTCAGAGTGAATCATAAACTACTCTAAGGATATATTGACAGTTTGGGCTAATATTTTGTTTCTCTGACAGCTGAAATATATCCAGGAGTAATGGCTAACTGGAAAGAGTTGCTTTGAATATTTTGTCAAATCCTACTCATCCCCTTTTCCCTCATTCTCTTCTCCCACCATCTGTAAGACAGCTTTAGTACATGTAGGTCTATCTTGACTCATTTTCTATGATTCACATTTCATATGGCTTTTAGAAATTTATTCATTTAACGAACATTTTATTGGGCACTAATTATAATTCTATATGCTTGAGTTAGGTGTATGAACGAAAAGAACAAATTGTCTTTAGCCTGGTAAAACTTACATGTTCATTTAACGAACATTTATTGAGCACTAATTATAATTCTATATGCTTGAGTTAGGTCTATGAACGAAAAGAACAAATTGTCTTTAGCCTGGTAAAACTTACATGCTAGCAAGAGGAGGTACAGAATAAGTTTAAGTAGAACACATGCTATAAGCAGGTGTTTAAGAAAAAAACTGACATGTAAGGGGGTCATGGAGAAGGTAACATTTAATCAAACTTGTTGAAGGGAATAATCCAGATTGTCAGGGAAGAGGCTTCTAAGTAGAGGGAAGGGCTGCTACAAGACTTTTTTTTTTTTAAGTTTTATTTATGCATACAAGAACTGGGGTTCAAGTCAGAGGTGTGGGAGGTGAGAAGATTCACCAGAGACACAGTGGGGAGCAGAACAAGCAGATTGACTGAAATACACTGCTGAGGAGAGCAGCAGATGAGACAGGAGAGGTCAGCTCCCTGGCCCAGGATCTTCACAGTGCTGACTTAACCCCTTGCACCACAAGGGAGGCCCCACCTGGGGTAATATTCTTGAACAGGAAACAGGGGATGGAGTCTAGAGTACAAGTGGAGGAGACTTACTTTAGAGGAGAGGGAGAGTTGACTTGCTAACGAGGAAAGGGAGAATATGTAGATTCAGAAGTTGCTAAGTGGGTAGAAGGTAATTGGACAAGTGGTAGGAATCTAGGAGTTCACTTCTGATTGCTTTCATTTTATCAGGGAGACAAAGAGTCTTTTGAGAGTGAGAATATGGAAGTGATGGGGGTGAGAAGAGAGAACGTATAATACAGTTTAGGACATTGTGAGAGTGAATAAACTGGGGATGCTGAGAACCACTGCCCAGCAATGGGCCATGTTGGGCCCAGCAATGGGTTTCATGTTGGCCATGAAATTAAAATTGATTAATTTAATTAGCTTGGTTGTGTGTGTTGTACAGGCACATTATTGTGAAGAGTGGTGGATCCCCTGAGATAAGGTAGGTAGGAAGCATCTGTTTGCCAACTGCAGAACATTTGCTCAGCGTCATGGGCTTGGTGACAACACCCATTAGATCATTTAGGGGAGATGTCTTCTTCTGCCACCTACTGGGATAGGGGCTAAAATGATATCCAGGCTCAGTCTTGTATTCTAAACAGATGAGACCTATCTGTGACCATGACACTGTTGGGACAATGGGACAAGTTGACTTCACCAGAGCAGAAGAGGGACATGCAGTCTACTGACAGGTAAGAACTGACTAGAGCGGCCCTGCCTTCAAGCTGGGGAGGCTCCTTGATGCTCTCCACTTCCATGGCTCTGTGACCCTGCGGGGGGGCCCATGTGACACTTGGAATCTGGCCACTGAGAACACTATGGGACTCCCTCTCTTTTCAGATGGCAAGATAAATACATCCATAGGTCCCAGGAAGCTTTTGCATATGTAACTGAGAGTCTTTTTGTCTTCAAAAGAGAAAAAAGCAGTCAACAGAAGGAACGACATCCCTGGCTCTCACTTGTTCTCCACTGCCTTGTGAAATGTGCAGGTGGAGAATCAGAAGAAAATAATCTTGGGAGTCTGAAGACTAGCTCTGTGACAGTGTTACATGGAGCTTCAAAAACATGCTAAGAGGCCCTCCCTGGTGGCACAGCAGGTTAAAGCGCAACACTGTGAAACTATCTGCAAGCTTGATCCCCTGCAGGGAGGTGACCTACATGGTGTAGCAAACATCTCCTGTCTTGCCCGCTGCTCCCCTCAGCAGTGTATTTCAGTAGATCTGCTTGTTCTGCTCCCACACTGTCTCTGGTAAATTCTCTAACCCCCCATATCTCTGGCCTGTACCCCAGTTCTGTATGCATAAATAAATCTTTTTTAAAAAAGTGGACTTAATTAAAGACAGTAAGGGTGTAGCAATTTATATTCTTGACTCATCCAACAGCCTGCCTCCTAATCTGACCTTTGTATTTTGACAGGATTGTGGTTCAATAGTAACTTGTATATATTCAAAAATGTGTGGATGTATATTACAGTAATGGAGGCAGGCAGCTGGTGTGTCCCATTCACTGGGGAAGTCAAAAGCTCCCTGTGATTTATTCAGATTAGACACTGCGGTATTATAAAGGGATACAGAAATTTTCTTTCTTTTTTGGCAATTTCAACTTTCTATGAGCAAGGTTCTTGTTTTTAAAATGAATGCACAGTTGAAAGTTTTCTTCAGAATCTCACAGATCAGGATTAAATAATCCAATATCAATTTTCTGAGGAATTTTTTAAAATAATGCTTAATGCTGAGTTATAAAACAGATAACAAGTGCAGCATTTCTTTGAACTCCAGGATCAGGAGGGTTGAAATACATCATACTCTAAACTCACTGAGAGTATTCATATCTGTAAAGAAACACTAAAATCATAATCTCTGAAAGGAAGGAAAGAAAAGAAAGAAA